AAACATGATGAGCATCTGCAGTCCCCAGTAGGCGAGTTTAAATCGGCCGTACGCCTCCAGGTCGCTGTTCATGCTGAGAAAGCGCTCAAGCCCCGCCTCGTCATCCTTTAGCACCCACCGGGGCGCCAAGCCCGCCGCATCGGGCCCGACCACCTCTTGTTCCGAGCTGGAGCTTTTCGCCGGCATCAGGTAGTTGCCATTTGTGTAGAGGTCGTCATACACCTTGTATCTCATAGGGACGTCGAGCCCAAGGCGGTGCACCTCCGAGGCGTACCACAGCCCTATCGCCAAACCCTGCAGCAGAAGCAACAGCATCGTCTGTGTGTCCGGCGCAACCATCAACCCAGAAGCTACGCTCCAGCACCACGGGGACCGGTGCTTCTCCATCAACTCCTGCAGAAGCCGCATGCTGCACCCCGTGCCTCCCCACACGTTGTGCGTAAGCCGGCCGCCCTCAAGCAGTCCGCAAGCCCCCCCTCGGGCGCAGGGGAGCCATGTGTCTCCGTCAGCAGACACCTCAGCATAGATAAGACACCTCAGCATAGACAAAACTACACCTCCGCATAGACGAGGCAGTACGAGGCCGCGGTGCATTGCTCCTCACAGGGCTGAGTGCAGCAAGCGCCGCGCACAGCGCTTCTCAGGGCATTTGAATCTGCTCAGTCATCAACAGGACGACCGTTTAACACAGGCTCAAGGCCCATGAGGGTAGTTCAGGGATCCTCGCAGGCCCTCCTCCAATGTGTGTACAGGAGGCGCCAAAAGTCATTTGCATTCATCTTTCAAGTCAATCGCCTTCGTCAGATGTGAGCATGGGAGAGGCGCCCACAACCACACAATTATCTTTGGCACTTCTGCACTTTCAGCCACAGCTCATTGGGGGGGTCCACCACATGTGACACAGCACGCGAGGAGCTCCCGGATGATCCACCACATGTAACACAGCACGTGGGGAGCTCCCGGATGATAGGTTGCAAGGGGAGCGGAGGGAAGTAAGTGGGAATGAGGCGGGATGGCCGGCGTACAGAGCTCGGGAGACAAACACGAACGCACTGAGCACCGCCACTGCCCAAACGAGGGAGACCAGTTGACACGTGTCAAGCTGCCACTCATCGCTCCCTACAGGCAGCACATCAATGCTGGTGCGTGCGAGAACCGAGCCGGAGGCGGCGAGGTCGAAGCTCATGGTCATGCGGGCGAACACACGGGCGGTGGCCTGGTAGGTGATGATGGTAGCGGTGAGGTGCGAAAAAGCCGCATCGATGTAGTGACCCTGCTGCATGAGCAGGTCCAGCTGCCGCGCCCGCCAGGAGATGAGCCCGGCGTCGATCCATACCGGAAAGGACTCCCCGAGAGCCTCCCGGTGACTGAACCCGAAGGGAAAATACGGGGGTTCCTCGAGGCGCACCTGCATCCACTTCCCCATCCCCGCCCACCGTTTGTGTACAAACCTCACCCAGTGATGAGGCCCTCCATAATCATCGGCTTTGTCACGGCAGTGAGCATCCGAACACACTCAGAGTGATACTACAGGACACACTCCGCATGTTGTAGCCAGTTGGAGAGTCATGGCCCTGCAGTCATACCGAGATTCTGGATGCAAGGCTGGCTTGTCATACAAATCGAGATCGCAAATAGAAATGAAAAGTCTCTGGTTCAGGTGGGTGGGAATGCGGAAGCGCGGAGCTGCGGATTGCTGGGACGGTGCTGTCTTGGACGGTGCTGTCAGCGGGCGATCAAGCTGCCATCACGACCATGGTGACTGAAACAAACTGCTCTCGAATCGATGGGAGAGGAATCGAAGCTAGATGCGCCCAAAAACCCTAAAACCGGCTCCGCAATCCAACTGAACCGCCGCTGGGAGCGGAGGGTTCAGAGCGTTATTCACTTTGGCACTCGGCGCGGTCAGCGGGGGAAAGGGATACGAAAGGTGGCATGGCGTTAATCTCGAATCCTCGCAGCCAGGGGATCGTCCGATCGCGCAAGGGGCAACAAATTGACGGCTGCAATGAATCGTATTCGAGCTCCACACCGTAACCCGTGGCAGGACTTACGGAGGTTGGAGGCGAAGCACGCTAGATTCTCCTTCATGGGCATCACACCCAGTGGAGGGAAGCAATGTGAAGGGGCGGGGGATATGCTTGTCGTAAATAGACTTTTGCATCTGATACAAGAACATTCAGATATGCTGATATAAATTCCATGCAGGAGCTCAGGGGGAGATAGGCTGGCGCACCTGCCCAGCGGGCTGTGAGAGGTTGTAATAGGAATCCGCTGTGTCCACCACGAGAGGGTTGTAGATGTCGCTAAGGACGTGGAACACCGCGTCCAACCCTACCTTGTCTGGGGTTGGCAGGGAGGGGTCGCGGCAGGCTGCTCCGAGTATCGCGAAGCGCCTCGTACAGTGCTTGTTGTCGAAGTCGACGGCGCTGGTGCGCTCCTCGCGCCGCAGCTCCACCAGCATGCCCCCCACCACGCGGTTGGCGCCCCGCGCCAGGTAGGTCGGCACCTGCGCGTGGTGCCAAGCCGGGGAGCGGCGGGGGAGATGGGGAATGAGCGACGGCAGCGGCAGCGCGGCATCGGCAGAGCGCCATCGGAGATGCTCTAAGACGGTAGGGCCTCCAGCAGGGTATCGAGCAGCCGTACTTGTACCACCGGCGCGGCACCTGCTTCCGCCAATTGAAAGTTGCACAGGCATATCGTTTCATTCTTATTCGTTTGTTAGCGCTGGAAGGAGTGAGGAGGGTAGTGGGGGCCAGGGGGCATTGATGAAGGGCATGAACCGAATTGGGACGTCAAAGGTGAGGAATCTGGCAGGGATTGGGAGGATGGTGGTGCGAGGCCTGTGAGGAGGGAGGAAGGGGCTTGGAAGAAGGCGATATTAGGGGCTTCGTTGGCGAAGGCTGGGAAGAAGGTGCGGAGGAGGGCTGGGGCTGGGAGGAAGGTGCGAGGGCTGAGGGGCATAGCAGGGGATGGGAGGTGGGTCAGACCTGGAAACCGTCCAGCGAGAGCGAGAGGATAACTTCTCGTTCCTCTGACCCTGTGCTATCTTCCTGATCGACTTTGGTGGAAGCGCCCTCGAAGACCGGCTTCCTCTTGCTGCCTCCCGCTCCCTTCCTCAGCAACTTGCGACGACCTGGGTCTGAGTCCGCCAGGTCCGGCCACCAAGATGAATTCATATGGTGCTGCCCTGTTCCGATGTCGAGGGGGGACTCCTCAAAAGTGGGCCCAGCGGTCGTGGGTGTGAATGTGGCGGTGGCGGTCTCCTCATCCATCATCTCCTCCACCTCCACCACCACCACGTCCTCCTCCCTGGTATCTGGAGGGGCATTGGTGACACTGGGCGCCGCAGTAGGGGCACTCGTGGCTTTTGGCACCACCGAGGGGACATCGAAGAGGTAGCTCCTAGTATCCAGGTACGGAATTCCGCAGCTGAGCGGCGGCGACGGGGGCTCCAGGTTGCCGTATTCCCAGTCCCCGGCCTCGCTCTCGAGGGTCCCGAGTCGAGGAGCAGCTGGAATGTGGGCCTTGACGGTGGCGAGCACCGCGTTTTTGAGGTTCGCAGAGGCTGCAGCTCGCTCTCCCTCGAGATCTGTCAGGGCCTGAGTCTCTAGCTCTGCCCCCTTCACCGTCAAGTCGCCGGCCCGCTGCTGCAGCTCCGTAGCTGACGCCGACAAATTGGCCTGCGCAGCAGAACTGATATCATAACCTTTCTGCTGCCGCGACTCCAGCCAGCCAGGGGTGTAACGCAGCGCCTACCGCAAAGCGCGGAGCCACCGTGGCATCCTCATGCAGGGCTCCGCAAGGCATACATTTCAGAACAGTGAGCCCCTCCTGCCAAGGGGTAGACCGAGGCTACTGCGCCCCCTCATTGCTAACCCATCCAAAGCCTAACTCCGATTCCGGTGCAAGACTACGGCCATGGCACGGGACCCCGCCGGCCCTGCCATTCACTGACGCCGCTAGTCAGCTCAGTTCACAGCTCACTGGCACTGCCGTTGACACCTCAGGCATGCCGGGCTCCAGCTGTTCAGGCACATCAGGGGAAGGGTAGCAAGGGCGATCAGGACGCCTCAAAACTGAAGGCGCCCAGATAACACCGGCGACTGATGAAGGGGGGCGGCAGGGCAAGGGCTCGCCGGCAAGCGCCCCGTTGGCTCACCCTCAAATGCCAAGCTCGCAAGCGTCCTGCTAGGTCACCCTGAGGCCACTTCACAGTCTGGAGGAGGCCACAGCAAGATCTCGTGCGATGCAGGGTTAACTCCGACAACAAGGAGCAGAGGCTATAAGGCAATCACGTCAATTCCCACAACCGCACAGCTCGGCCAAGGAGTTGGTTATTGCTGTGCACGGGTAGCTTTGACAGTTAGATACGCATGCTGCATAACGAAGCAAATTCTAAATTGGGGAGCACACTTGTGTGCGCCTCACTCGGAAGCAGCATGCTCCCGGAGGCACCCTCGCCTCCCCTGGCCCATGCGGCGCGGCGGCCTTGAGCCTCCAGGGTCCAGCCCAGGAGCTTGGTTGGCAATGTGTGTATGGCGCGGCTGGGGGGCTCGCCACACCTGATTGGCCATCTCTGCCTTGAGCCCTGTGCCCCATACTCCGGCGAGGCCCTGTGCTGACGTGGCGGACGTTGCTATGGAGCGTACCAAGGAGGCACGCAGGTCCACCAAGGCATCCCCCAGGTTGCCACTCTTCGCCTGCAGCCGGCAGGCAGCTCCACATACGACTTGGCGCAGATGACACAGTCACGTTTGCCCTTCCTCTTGGGGTGACCGGCTACTAAGGCTTTGAGGCACAGCACTTAGGATCGGAGGGGGTCTTGTCATGACATGTCTTTGTCTACACCATGTCTATGGCTATGTCTACCGGTTATATTGTGCCAAGATGGAGAGGAAGACTGAAGACCTGAAAAGACTGAGATCCGAAAGGGTCGTAATGAAAAATGAGTGCTGCCCCCATAAGGACAGCGATGCAGACTTATCTGAGTATATATTGAACCAATGGTGCAGTGATAGCACAACGATCTTGTAATTTGTGTGTGGACGGTGGGTTTGATTCCCACTTGGTTCACCTTTGGAATAATATATACAAGAGATATGACAATCCAGCTCTGAAAAAGAATGACACGAAAGTTGAAATGAGAATTATATACCATTTATGATATGAAGGCAGCGCTTGGAGTAGCTCAGAGCCAACGACCCCTTCTGCCCGGGTGACAGTACAAAATCTAGTGGTTTTTGTCTAAAATATAGTGAACCGTGTACACTATATTGTCGATCGGGGCCACAATATAGTGGTGTCTGCCCACAATATAGTGGTGTCTGTCCACAATATAGTGGTTTCTGTCCACAATATAGTGGTTTCTATCCACAATATAGTGGTTTCTGACAGAAACCACGATATTGTGGACAGAAACCAAGTCATATCCCGACACCCCCCACGCCATACCTCGACACCCCCTAGTCATACCCCGACACCCCCT